CTCTTTCCTGTAAAATTTCTGTGGCTCGATCATAGAAACTGAGTAAATTTGTTACATAGGATCTTCCAGATCGAAAACCATACTGTCTGTCTGTCTGATATTATATAATTTTTCTCCAGGTGTTCTACTGGGAAGTGCCCATTTAAGTTTAATTATTTTTTCCAATATTTTGACTATTATACTTGTCAATGATAGAGGTCTATAATTGACGGGGGTCTTCCCTGCTGCCACTTTTGTAGATTGGAACTATGTTAGCCTTTTTTCACACATCAGCTACAACTCCTGTACACAGGGATGCCTGAAAAATCAGTTGAAGTGGCATGCTCAGCTCAGGTGCACATTCTCTCAGAATCCATGATGAAACTCTATCTGGACCAACTGCTTTGTTCTTACTTAGCTCCTTGAACATTTTTTCCTTTGTCTCTAGACAAAGGAAAAATGCTCTATGTGCTCTGTGTTGTTCTCTGGAATTCTTATTGTGTCTGGTTCCCTGAAGATTTAATTTTGTATAAACACACTTTGGAAGTTTTTGTTTAAAGTTTCACACATTTCATTTTCATTTTCCATGTATCTGTCCCTCATTTTCAACCTCTGAATATTATCCTCTACCTGCAATTTGTTGTTTTTGAATCTATAGAATAGGCCTGGTTCTGTTTTACATTTGTCCGCAATCCCTTTATCAAAATATCTTTCGGCCTCTCTCCTCACTGCCGTGTAGTTGTTTCTCGCATCTTTGTATCGCTGGTATGTTTGAGGGTTTAGCCTCAACCTATATTGATTCCATTTTTGTGTCTTTTGGTCTCTGGCCCTCTCGCAATTTCTGTCAAACCAATCCTGTTTCCTAGTTCTGCATCTCTGCTCTAGTATAAATTTTTTTGTGCCTTACCTTACCTTGAGGTTACCTTGAGGTGCTTCCGGGGCTTAGGGTCCCCGCAGCCCGGTCGTCGACCAGGCCTCCTGGTTGCTGGACTGATCAACCAGGCTGGTTGATACCTGGTTGATACCTGGTTGATGGGGTTCTGGGAGTTCTTCTACTCCCCAAGCCCGGCCCGAGGCCAGGCTCGACTTGTGAGAGTTTGGTCCACCAGGCTGTTGCTTGGAGTGGCCCGCAGGCCCACATACCCACCACAGCCCGGTTGGTCCGGCACTCCTTGGAGGAATAAATCTAGTTTCCTCTTGAAAATGTCCACGGTTGTTCCGGCAATATTTCTTATGCTTGCTGGGAGGACGTTGAACAACCGCGGACCTCTGATGTTTATACAGTGTTCTCTGATTGTGCCTATGGCACCTCTGCTCTTCATTGGTTCTATTCTACATTTTCTTCCATGTCGTTCACTCCAGTACGTTGTTATTTTACTGTGTAGACGCGGCTGTTAGACGCGGCTGCTCGCAGCCTGATGTATGAGTCACAGCCTGGTTGATCAGGTATCCTTTGGAGGTGCTTATCCAGTTCTCTCTTGAACACTGTGAGGGGTCGGCCAGTTCTGCCCCTTATGTGTAGCGGAAGCGTGTTGAACAGTCTCGGGCCTCTGATGTTGATAGAGTTCTCTCTCAGAGTACCTGTTGCACCTCTGTTTTTCAACAGGGGGTATTCTGCACATCCTGCCATGTCTTCTGGTCTCATGTAATTACCTAAGTGTAATTACCTAAGTGTAGTTACAGGATGAGAGCTACGCTCGTGGTGTCCCGTCTTCCCAGCACTCTTTGTCATATAACGCTTTGAAACTACTGACGGTCTTGGCCTCCACCACCTTCTCACTTAACTTGTTCCAACCGTCTACCACTCTATTTGCGAAGGTGAATTTTCTTATATTTCTTCGGCATCTGTGTTTAGCTAGTTTAAATCTATGACCTCTTGTTCTTGAAATTCCAGGTCTCAGGAAGTCTTCCCTGTCGATTTTATCAATTCCTGTAACTATTTTGTATGTAGTGATCATATCACCTCTTTTTCTTCTGTCTTCTAGTTTTGGCATATTTAATGCTTCTAACCTCTCCTTGTAGCTCTTGCCCTTCAGTTCTGGGAGCCACTTAGTAGCATGTCTTTGCACCTTTTCCAGTTTGTTGATGTGCTTCTTAAGATATGGGCACCACACAACAGCTGCATATTCTAGCTTTGGCCTAACAAAAGTCATGAACAATTTCTTTAGTATATCGCCATCCATGTATTTAAATGCAATTCTGAAGTTAGAAAGCATAGCATAGGCTCCTTGCACAATATTCTTTATGTGGTCCTCAGGTGATAGTTTTCTATCTAGAACCACTCCTAGATCTCTTTCTTTATCAGAATTCTTTAAAGATTTCTCACATAATATATAGGTTGTGTGGGGTCTATGTTCTCCTATTCCACATTCCATAACATGACATTTATTAACATTAAATTCCATTTGCCAAGTGGTGCTCCATATACTTATTTTGTCCAGGTCATCTTGAAGGGCATGACAGTCATCTAAATTTCTTATCCTTCCTATTATCTTAGCATCATCAGCAAACATGTTCATATAATTCTGTATACCAACTGGTAGATCATTTATGTACACAATAAACATCACTGGTGCAAGAACTGAACCCTGTGGTACTCCACTTGTGACATTTCTCCATTCTGATACATTGCCTCTGATTACTGCCCTCATTTTTCTATCAGTCAGAAAATTTTTCATCCATGATAGAAGCTTACCTGTCACCCCTCCAATATTTTCCAGTTTCCAGAACAACCTCTTATGTGGAACTCTGTCGATGTGATGTTATTTCTGTGTGCAGGTTTGGGACCAGCCCCTCAATTATTTTCCATGTGTAAATTATTATGTATCTCCCCCGCCTGCGCTCAAGGGAGAACAGATTTAGGCTCTTTAGTCGGTCCCAGTAATTTATATGTTTTACTGTGGATTCTAGCAGTAAAGGATCTCTGCACGCTCTCCAGGTTAGCAATTTCTCCAGCTTTGAAAGGGGCTGTCATTGTGCAGCAGTACTCCACTCTAGAGAGCACAAGCCTTTATCATATATTTCACAAAATTTGACAAACATCTCATTTACTTCATGTTCTAACAGCAAGTCTTTCCAGTCAAATTCCTTAAAGAAATATCTGAGTTCCCTATAATGACCTCTCTTGAAATCAGGCTTTTCAACTGCTTCAACCTCTTTTTCTTCCAGATTATAACGCATTGCATACTCTATTCCCTAAAAGACATGGTCACTTTTACCCATGGGATAGAGGTACTGAATGTCAAATATCTCTACCTCTTTCCTAGTAAATGTCAAATCCAGCATAGAGGGAACATCCCCTGCCCTCATCCTCGTAGCTTGTTTAACATGTTGAAACATGAATGTTTCCAGGATGAGGTTTACGAATCTAAAAGTCCAAAAATCCTCTGTTCTAGCTTCATATGCCTCCCAGTCTATGGATTTCAAGTTGAAGTCGCCGACTACCGACAGTCATGATCTATCTTATCAGCTCTCGCTATAATCTCTCTCAATTGTTATAAGACCCTCTCATTTATTATCCAGCTCCTCCTTTGACCATGTGCTACCTTTTCCTCCTTTTGATCTGGTGACTGCAGCGTGATGTATAAGAAAGTGCATGAACCCCGGTACACCCCAGCACAACCAAAACAGAATGCCCCTAGCCAAGAACCCAAACAAATGTGGCAAAGACTCCTGAACAGCCCAAGGTGAGGCTCTCCTTAAGTCCCAGGATGGCTAGCACTTAGCTTGAAGCGGAGGGCTTGCCAACAACTCGTGGACTAGAACACTACTAGTAGAACCTTTCACCATAACATCAGCAACAGAACTGAAATGGGGGAGCAGACTGCAGGTAGGAGCTGGGCCACCTGGTGGAGGTAATTGACAATAACAAGTTTCGAGCTATTTTGAGTGAATGTCTTGTTCTGTGTGAGTCATTTGTCTTGTTCGTTTGGCAGTTTTGAGGCTTTATTTTCTGTATCCAGTTGTCTGTCAAGATTTGCTGATTTTCTGTATGCTTGCCAGAGGGATGGTGAATTGTCACTGGTTCCCTGCACTCTGTGAGGAGGGCCGGGTTCTGGCTCTGGTCCACGGTAGGCCAAACAGAACTTCCGACTGATGTGACCCCTTTAGCATGGATCAATCTCAACAAATAACTTCAGGAAGCCACTGGGGGGCTTCCCCAAAAAATAAGCTGTTGCTTGAAAGCTAGAAGTAAATCCTGATGTAAACAAGGCATATGATTATTGTAGTAGGTGAACAACCCTAACCTTGATGTACCCAACTGCGACCAGATGATGGCCCAGGCCAACCGAGGTCCCTGCTAGCAGCTCAACGCACTCAGAAGACGCCAGTATACAGCCCCAAATACCCCACAGGGAAGATGAGATCAGAGCACAAACGGGGAACCCTGGCAAAGGAGGACAGTTTATCGGAAAGGGAACACCAGCATACATGTCTTCACCCAGGGAAGTTGTACCGTACACAAGCCTATCAGTGGACACTGCAGACACATGAACACACATGTAGCAAGTGGGTCCCCAACCTGGGAAACAAGCAAGATACATGGTTCATATTTAGAGGGAAATATGAGGGGAAAATGGTACATCTGCAGTAAACTTTAAATGGATCTACACTGCATGTAACCAAAGAAAGAGAAGAAGAATTAACAGGAGACAGGCTTTCCTCTATTGAGTATACAGGTGTTATGGTAATAAAACCAAACCACCTACTAATATATTAAGCAGTCTCCGTGGTGTAGTGGTAAGACACTCGCCTGGCGTTCCGCGAGCGCTATGTCATGGGTTCGTACCCTGGCCGGGGAGGATTTACTGGGCGCAAATCCTTAACTGTAGCCTCTGTTTAACGCAACAGTAAAATGTGTACTTGGATGAAAAAACGATTCTTCGTGGCGGGGATCGTATTCCAGGGACCATAGGATTAAGGACTTGCCCGAAACGCTACGCGTACTAGTGGCTGTACAAGAATGTAACAACTCTTGTATATATCTAAAAAAAAAAAAAAAAAAAAAAAAAATTAACTACCTGTAAAATTCTATAAAAGAATGATCCTCTTAGCTTGAGGTAATCTTCTTGTAACAGGTTGATGAGGAGAGTCAACGTGGTGCGGCGAACATTAATGTCTGGATCACGAAGACAGGCAGTGACCTGAGGCATCAAAGGATCAACTAATGTTGCATACCTGTATGGAAAAAAATTAATAAACTAAATTTCCATGTAATAATTAGCAACACAATTACAAACATTAGGCATACTAGATACTTCTATTTTCCTAGAATATGGCAGCACCTTAAAGCCAAAAACCAGCGTTGAATGTAATGAAATGCCATTTTCTGGGCGAGACCCGGAGGCTCCCCAAAGCTATTATCGCCAATTCAGTAATTACCTAAGTGTAGTTACAGGATGAGAGCTACGCACGCACGTGGTGTCCCGTCTACCCAGCACTCTTTGTCATATAACGCTTTGAAACTACTGACGGTTTTGGCCTCAACCACCTTCTCACTTAGCTTATTCCAACTGTCTACCACTCTGTTTACAAAAGTGAATTTTCTTATATTTCTCCAGCAGCTTTGTTTCGTTAGTTTAAATCTATGACCTCTTGTTCTTGAAGTTCTGGGTCTCAGGAATTCTTCCCTATCAATTTTGTAAATTCCTGTTACTATTTTGTACGTAGTGATCATATCACCTCTTTTTCTTCTGTCTTCTAGTTTTGGCATATTTCATGCTTCTATGCAGGCGATGAGTCACAATAACGTGGCTGAAGTATGTTGACCAGACCACACACTAGAAATTGAAGGGACGACGACGTTTCATGCTTCTATCCTCTCCTCGTAGCTCTTATCCTTCATTTCTGGGAGCCACTTAGTGGCATGTCATTGCACTTTTTCCAGTTTGTTGATGTGCTTCTTAACACTTTGGCGTACCCCGCGCGCCACCCCTCAACTGTGCGATATGGGTCCCAGGGTGTCACAGAAGCGCGCGTAAATTCTGAAAAGTGTATACTCTCTTCAACTTTGTCACCTTAATTCTCGTCCTACGAGATTAAATTTTGTATCATTGTGTTCGCAATAGAATTCTCTACAGCACTAAATGCATATAAACTCCAAAAGCCCGGCTAATTACCCGCAGCAAACAGAGAAAGTGCAAACGAGTTACCCAGGAGCACGCAAACGCGATAACATGTTTTCACTATTTTCACTCTGGTCACCTCAATTTTCGTCCTACGTCTTTCATTTTGGTCTCAATGGGTTCGCAATAGAATTCTCTAGAGGAACATTAGCATATAAAATAAAAAACCTGGTCACGCTCCAACCGCAGACGAGTTGAAGATGGGCCACGCGTTAGCCGCGAGCGAGCGCTCAGACGCCTTCCAGCTACACTCCCAATTCCCGCCCTTTTCAAGCCTTTCTTTCGCAATTTTCTTCCTGGAAGGGCCTTGTTCATGATCACTATCCATCGTGGAGTAAGCGTAGATAGTTTCTAAAGCCACAGTAAGAAATATAGCCACGGAAAATAGCCGAAATGTTCACACGTTTGAGATGCGAGGGGAGGCAACAACAGTGGAGCGAAAACAATGGGCCCACGGCGTGTGCCAAGCCGCCTGAGGGCCACAAGAAAATGAGGGCCTCAACAAAGAAAATGGGAAGACATCGGTGCGCATTTTAAAACCAGTCCCAAAAAAATCGGATAAAAACCTGATTTTTGGCGATTATTTAAAGTGGATGACGCAATGCTGCGTCATCCCCGGGCGAAAGTGTTAAGATATGGATGCCATACAACCGTTGCATATTCCAGCTTTGGTCTAACAAAAGTCGTGAACAATTTCTTTAGTATTTCTCCATCCATATATTTAAAAGCAATTCTGAAGTTAGAAAGTGTAGCATAGGCTCCTCACACAACGTTCTTTATGTTTCAAAGTGTTGAATCAATCCTGGTTCAACAGAAACATATAGGCTAGAAAGGCTGTCTAGCCTGACACATTGCCAGGCTTAACAGACTGCCAGGCTAGTCATACTACCAGGCTTGACAAGCCATCAGGCTAGACATGCTGTCAGGCTAGACATACTGCCAGGCTTGACAGGCTGCCAGGCTAGACATGCTGCCAGGCTAGACATGCTGATACCATGCTGTCAGGCTAGACAAATTGGGTCTAGACAGATGGTCAAGCTAGACAGATTGTCAGGCTAGACAGAATGTCAGGCAAGACAGATTGTTAGGATAGATTGTTACACACTAGATAACCTGTCAGGCTAGACAGATTGACAGTCTAGATTGTGTCATGCTAGACATTGTCAGTCTAGACAGACTGTCAGGCTAGATCAAGTGGGTGAAGACAGTCAGGCTAGATATTGTCAGTCAAGACACTGTTAGCCTTGACATGCTGTCTGGCTAGACAAACTGATGTTTACACAGATAGTCAGGCTAGACAAACTGGGTGTAACTGGGTTTAGATAGATTGTCAGGCTAGAAAGATTGTCAGGAAAGGCAGATTGCCAAGCTAGACAGAATGTCAGGCTAGAAAGAATGTCAAGCTAGACAGAATGTCACAGAATGTCAAACTAGACAGAATATTAGACTAGACAGATCATCAGGCTAGACAGATTGTCAGGATAGATAGGTTATCACACTAGACAAACTGTCAGACTAGACATAATCCTAGGCTTGACTGGCTGTCAGGCTAGACATGCTGTCGGTCTTGACATGTAGACAAGCTGTCAGGATGTAATCTACAGGCTGCACAGTCTGCCACAGACTGCCAGACTAGACAGAGAGCACTGGACAGCCAGACATGATCGCACGTCTCCTTCCGGTTCATTTGGAGGTCCAGGGACATCATCCAAGCACCCAACTCCAAAAGAAGCCGGTCCTGAGACTGAGTGGTCATCTAAAAGGAAAAGCAGGAAATCCAGAAGTTTAGACTTCAGACGGGACAAGTCCAAAATGAACAGCAGATCTGTGAGGTCCCGTTTTGGCACTGGAAAGAGGCGGGAAACCCACCTGAGGGATAGGGTCATTTCGACCACGCCCAAGCGCACTCACTCCAAGATGACCCGACAGAGCGCAGGGGAGGAAGCCTGCTCATCAGCCCCGAAGCCCCTGAAGGAGGAGGAGCCACCCAACGCCACCACAGACCAGAGGAGAAAACCCGAAACACAAATCGTGGGACCAAGCGTGTGGAAACAGTGCGAGCTTCCCAGTGGGGTGCCTGACAGCTGGGCGGACAGCGCTTCGGATTTGTAGTCCTGAGGTTCCGGGTTCGATCCCCGGTGGAGGCGGAGACAAATGGGCTAAGAGTTTCTTTCACCCTGATGCCTCTGTTACCTAGCAGTAAATAGGTACCTGGGAGTTAGACAGCTGCTACGGGCTGCTTCCTGGGGGTATGTAACAAAAAGAAGGCCTGGTCGAGGACCGGGCTGCTTCCTGGGGGTATGTAACAAAAAGAAGGCCTGGTCGAGGACCGGGCTGCTTCCTGGGGGTATGTAACAAAAAGAAGGCCTGGTCGAGGACCGGGCTGCTGGAACGCTAAGCCCCGAAATCATCTCAAAATAACCTCAAGATAACCTCCCTTCTATCGCCCCGTCAATAAGACGACCCACGAAAGGGACAACACTCGTTATGAGAAGCCGGACGACGGTTGTTGTCTGCGCCGACCAGACAACACAGGCTCCAAAGAAAGCACTGGCTCAGAAGCTGGCACCAATGGCACACCCCGACTGTGAGAACCCCGAGCCCTGACACGATCCTCCCGAGAATGCCAAGACCAACCACTCAGGAAAAGCAACAAGTTTGACACAGGACAACAACTAGACGAAGCCGCCCGTAGAAACTGTGTGACCGCAGTCTCCGCAAACAGCAACGGACGAAATGGCAATGAAAACCTTAGAGCCATGGCCCAAGTGGATTCCAATGAGAGAGCGAGCACAGCCTGCCGGCACCAGAGGTGAGAAGAAAAGAACAGAGACACCGCCTCCCTGAGAATCGGCACAAACAGCTTCAACAGTGCGGTCGATGCCCGAGCCGCAGAGGCAAACGCACCAGACAAAGGGCCGGCACCTAATGCCTCTACGTCCTTCCCAAGCCAGTCCAAGGACAGTTCGAGAAGGGAAAAGAAGTACACGACCGAGGCCAAATGCCCACAGGCGTGCAAATCCTCAGCTACCTCAGCTCCTGCCAGAAGACGATATTGCAGTTAACTTAAACCCGCACCAAGGTCTGCCCCCCCCCTTTCTTCCTACCCAAAGGAACTAGAAACAAGGTACAAATGTGGTACAGGTAAGACAGACCCAGCAAGGGCAATCGAGGAATAACCAACGAGATAACTCTACCGATAGCAGGGCAGGGCAGAACCAGTAAGACAGAGACAGATCTAGAAACGAATAGAGGAACCCATCATGAGACAATAGAGACAAATCCAGGGGGAGACCAAAGGTGAGGGAATAACACCTCCCCCCATAACCCCTCAAAACAAAATTGGAATAACAGACAAGGTAGGGATAACAATAGGGGACGGATTTTTTCTACTGAGACAGAAGCAACAGCAGGCAACAGAAGAATAGAGGCAGGGATGACAGGCACAACCCTGGAAACAACAACCAAGCATGGAGACAGCGAGATGCGAGTAGAGGACAGCAAGGAAGAACCAAAGATGTAGGGTGGACCTATGGAGGTCAGAAAAGAGGCGGAAACAACATGCAGTACAACAAAAGGCAAGACGACTAAAACATAGTCGTGTCAGAAGTCCCCCTTTTCCCAGCATGAGAGAAATCTCCTGGGAAGGTCCCTACCCTTTGTGATGGGCCCCTCCAGCACAAAAGAAGCAGCAAGAGGTGATAGAGGGGTTCTGCACAGACTTGGGAAAACAGTATTAACCAAGCCTGGAGCAGCCTCCGACCAGAACAAGTTAAGTAAAAGCAAGAACAACCAGGAATTAAATTCTCTCTCTCATTCAGATATCTACAACCAGGGAAAGGGGAGAAGGGTCGAAGCTTCAACCTCATAGGCCTCTGAACGAAGGTGCGACAGCTGAAGGAGGACCTCACAAGGGACACCGACCAGAAGCAGAGCTGTAACCTATCCAGGGAGTAGAGGTAGACTTTAGCATCTTTGAAATTGAGAACATACATCGTTGTAAAAATAGCAGATGAAGGAGATGCAGTCGTCGTCTAGAAGAAAACCAACTAC